GAAACTTCCATAGTTCTACAGCCAATAATCGTCATACAGAATATCAGTCGTACACATCAATTCCATTTTAGATGAACATTAATTTGGTATATAACAAATTTTTATATCATTTGTAGTTTCAGCTCTACCCCCCTAGAAAAACATTATTTCCAACCGTGTATATTTCAAGTTTCAATCAGCCTACCGTGATAAATCGAGTGTATCAAATGATGATGTTTCGCGTTCATCTGGTCTATCGAGATCCTGATAAGATATAATATTTCGATTATTGGATTTATCTGAACGTCTACTCTGACCGTTATTGTTCGATATCGTTGCTTGCGGAGGCAACAGACGTTTGTTTTCATTTGGATCTTCGTGAAGAATGTCGCTATCGTCCAAGAACGGAATTTGTCCGCCTTCAATTTTGATGTTGTTATTCTGATAAACATGTTGTTGCTGCTGCTGTTCTTGTTGAGGTCCGTTCATCATCATAAATGGATGGGGGGGCACAGGAGGCAAACCAAATGGAGGACCAAACGGTGGCGGAACCAAGGGTGGAGGGTTCATCTGGTTTTGTTGTGATGACAGCGGCCCACGAAACCATGGTTGTTGAGGTGGACTCAAACCACGCAGTGGTGGTGGCCCTGGTGCTCTCGGAATCAATTGATTTTGTTGTGGTGGTAATTGACCACGATACCATTGTTGTGGCTCTTTTTTAAATGGTCTATTCTGCTGTTGTTGCTGATTATTATTATTTGGTTGATAATTTCGACGATAATCGTTGTTTCCCTACAGAACGAAGAAAAAATAGCAGCGAAAAAAACAATTGCAAACGATTACTGCTTCAAGCATGAGCTAATTATAGCTCTAGTATACGTGAGCTAATCTAGCTCTATGCGATGCAAAGTTAGTGTATTTTTACACAATTCCCTTACAATAGCAATTTATTATCATTTTTTTTTAATTTCATGTAGAAACAATGTACCAAGTTATATGAATAGTTATCTGAAACGAGATCAAAAATTGTTTTGTTTTTTCTTGTCCTTCTGCTATACTTATCTTGTCAAATAAAAATTTAGTACCACTAGGATGCAAAAAAACAGTAGAAAACTTACCCCAAAAAAGACACCAGCATCATTTGGTACACGTGCATTTGGCAATCTAGGCGGAGGAGGCGGTTGTTGCATTGGATGTCTCATGCCTAAAAGTTTGGATGGACAAATGAAATGCTGTTAGACCACATTTCATGAAAAGTATTTAGTGAGTAAATGAGAAGGAGATATAATCAACAGTTTTTTTTTCCGAAAAAATATCCTCATCTTAGAAAAACCTCTTCTTTAGCAAATCACAAGTAGACTAACTCGATCAAGTAATTGTTATCACTAAGCTGCTGAGAGAGCTTAACTAGTGTGCTTCAACTTAGAGTATATCCACCTTCTCTGAACAAAGGAAAATCGCTGGGGAACTGGTAAAAATTTTCAGGTAAAAAACAACACATGTCGAAAGTTTGTGACAGAATAGCAAAAACTTTCTTGCAGAAGTGGTACACATAATTCAAATTTTATACTTTTCAGTGGCGGAAAACAAATTTTGAATCGTGACTGTGGTCGAGGACACAATGAGCAAGACATTAAACTCAATGTAATAATTACCTGCGGAACGCATCATAACTCTTTTAGGCCGACAAAAAAAGCGTATAAAAAAAAATCACAATAGTCAAACAGACGAGTGGTTAATCAAATATTGAAAATAATTGATTTAAAACATCTTTTCCTGCTAGTAAGTTGATTTGACTTAGGTCTTAAATAATTTGTTAACGTGCTTGTTGTCAGCCATTATAAGCAGCTACGATTTTTACGAACCCTTATGATATTCAAAAACTATTCCACATTTGAAACATATCAGTAGGTCATAATAAGAGAATGAAGCTGTGGAAAACTATTTTGTAAATTATGATTTTCGATGGTCATAAACAGCCACAATGTGCAATATACGGCGACATCTGCAGGGACACCATTATAGTATGAAAAATAACGAAAAAAACTTTAGCATTTTCTTATCAACGGTTCTTGCCGAACGATTTACTGTATGATTTAAAATATACCTAATTCAAGAGTTCATGAGATAAATTTAGTGTTTTCTATACTGTTAGAATGTATGAAAAGGTGTGGTAAAAAAAAAGAAAACACATTTTAATCAGCAGAATATTTCATAAAAATAAAACGTTGACAGTGGAATGCATTATAATTTATTTATTAGCAACCACCACAAATTCAAATTTTCAATTATAGAGTAACTTCATCTGAAACACGACCCGCTTTGCTTAAAACCAATCTAGTTTTAGATAGCTCGACAAGTTAGTTTGTTGGCATTGTTTCAAATGTTATGTGAGATAAGTAATTATGAAATTTTCACTAAAGACATCTCTGATAATACAAACTAAGATTTGTTGCATATTAATAGTTTTAATGACATATATATACCATGGAATTGAATAACGATTTCCCGGCAGAAAATTATTTGCTCTTTCAGTGACTTTCCGCAACTTTTCTGCCTAATATTTTAATGAAAAGTGAACAAACATCGCATAAGTTTGTTTGTTTTGAAATTTTTTGACAAAACCGAATAGTTTTGACGTCCAATACCACGAATTACAGTATTTCAGTTATAATCTCTCTCGAAGTTCTAAGTTCAGAAAAGTGCAAAACAAACAAACTTGTGCGATGTTGTGCACTTTTCCATTAAAATATTCGTGCACATAACAAATAATGTATGTCGGTGCAAAAAATAATAAACGACCTAAATTTGTAAAACAAAACGAACAAGCAGAGTTTTTTATTAAAAAACAATATGAAACATATACGAGCATTCATTACTACTAGAAATTTCGAGTATATAACCTTAAAACCATTCTACTATGGAGTTATGGCGAAGAGATTCACAAAATACAATTTTCTCAAACAAAACTTGTCTGTTGATACTATTTTTAGAATTATTCCTCATGTGACAACAAAACGAAGAAGAATAAAGTATTATATTATTTCTAAGATGACGTCTTGGGATACACACTTGATTTTCTCTATAAAATGAGATTTGCCATTTACTTTCAGAGATAAAGATTTTCAAATTGAAGCTAGAATTTGACGTTTTTATCCATTTCAAAATTATTATTACAGTCAGTAGATCAAAGTCTTAACTCCAAAGTGAAACATCTTCAAAAATGCTTCTATGAAAACCTTTTTAAACTGTTCATCAGAAGTTCAGTAGATATTATGTCGATAATGTGATATTTGTATCTTATTTCGAGAAAAAGATGAATAATGATTATTTTTCGTGAGATCTTGTGAAATTTTCTGATGTACGAAATCCATTACCTCCTTTCATTAGATATTATTTCATTATTTTAAAAAAACAGTGCAGAGTACTGACAGGTAAAAAGTATAAATGCGATTTCTTATCAAAATTTTGGTGGCTTTTCGTTTTTGTAACTTTTAGAGAAATAATGTGGTAACTGAGAGAAGGAGGTGGTATGAAAATGTTCAGAGGATTGAGCGCTATCATGCAGTCTGTGCTAGTTCATTTGTTCACCCAAATTGTGAAGCTTTCAGTGCACAAGTTAATCTGTACTTTCGGGTAATGTGGGATTTTGAAAAAAGCAGGAAAAGGACTAGCTAAACAACGTTGTGAAAGTGTGCGTTGTAGGCTTTTGTAGAGCAGAAACTTTTCTACCTTGTGAAGTCAGAACGAAGTCTCGGAATCATACAGAATATAGATACAAATAGATACATGAATAACCCCATACTTTCAGGATCATCCGTTCTTAGTGGCAAAATATTAGGAAAAATTTTATTTCACAATGCGGATGAATTAAATGACGATGAATTCGTTACACAAAGTACTTGTGATGAATAGCTAACAGAAGCGTTATTAATTAGTTAATTAGGCCAACTACAAAAATAATTATAACCTGTTCCTTCCGTCGCAGTTATACTTTTACCTGTCAGTGCTATTTTTTAAAATAATGAAATAATATCTAATGAAAGAAGGTAATGGATTTTGTAGAGCAGAAAATCCTCTATCTAATGAGTTTAAAATGGGATCTTCGAACCTCGGTTGTGCTCGGAAGAAAAGAGAACAAAAGTGCGTCATAATTTCTAATCCACCTGTTAGTTTCTTGAATGATCACGAAAATACATGTTGTAAAAACTTATTGAGAAGCCTTCAGGAATGCTCAAATCTATCGTAGAGCTATCAATTCCCTTTTGTAAGTTATTTTATCTATGTTTTTGTTACACGAGATTAAGCTTGAAAAGATGTGAGAAACAAAATAAGGCAACAGCTTTTATTCCGGTATGAACGTTTTGTTAGTTGTTGTCATAATAAATACGTTTGCAAAGGATATTAATATTGAAAGTAGTCATAAATAGATGTCAAAAGTAATTAGTAATAAAAAAATCGAAAGTTGGAAAATAAAACTTTTTTTCTCAAAAAGTCAAATTAAATCATAAATATTAAATTTTCAAAAACAAGATCACGTATTCGTTTAATGATAGAAATATATGTCAGAAAATTGTCGAAAAAATGATTGAAATATACCGTCAGAAATGAATGAAAACATAGATTATTGACTATGCTAAATCTCGTGGCAGTGATAGTTTCCAGAACAAAATGCAACAATCCAGTGAAAACCTATGCTAGATGAAACCACCCATTTTTGATTCCTTTCATCAAAAATTAAATAATTCATAACTCGGTCGAAATCCATTAAAAACCTACTTCAGAATGTCAGGATATACACTATTTTACCTGCTCATTCTAATTCTGTATGTAAGAAGTCAATAAGAAATCTTTCCTGTGTGCTGAAGGTTTCTGGGAAATCTTTCTAGAAATCAAAATATTTTCTGTTGTTTTTTCCAACGTTTATTGACCTTTACAGATGCAGATAAAATAGAGTATTTTCTGACATTCTGAAGTAAGTTGGGTGGAGCAAAATGTTAAAAAGCAAAAACTGCTTCTTTTCATTGCAAATGGCTTGTTCGATGTATCAGTCAATGAACAAAAGATTTCTCACAGCCACTTATTAACGTCAATCCAACTGAACAAAGGTCTATGCCTCCTCAAGCAACATCCTCTTAAAAGCCGCTACAGTCCACAAACCTATTCGTCTATCCGACAAATCTTCAGCATCGCCACCTCTGACAATGCGTTCGCGACCAGAGCGCTAGCACTACAAACAAAATGACAACGGCACAACAATCAATGATCATGCAGCTGGTGAAGGGTGCCCACCAACTCACTATTCACTTACCTTGTAGATGTTCCATTAAACCAGATGACATTTCACTGTCGTCGCATCAATGGTCATTTGGCGATGATGAGTTACACAGTAACTGAATCAATGATCATGCAGCTGGTGAAGGATGTCTATAAGGTGACTATTCACTTACCTTGTAGATGTTCCATTGTACCAGATGACATTTCACTGTCGTCGCATCAATGGTCATTGGGCGATGAGAATGTCCGCAGATACTGTTTCGATCAATTCATTTGTCATGTATGGTATGTAGATTGGAGTTTTAAATCAATATAGGTTTTTCCTGTTTCTGGATCAGATTTTACTTTGATTATTTGAAATATTGTTCCGGGTGGAAGTAGGACTTCTTCTTCGTCTGGGTATTTAGAACTTTGGGTTATGTCAATGCCACTGTTGTCGGTTGCATCTATAGTGAAGAGGGTGTTGCCGAAGCTTTGGGCCTTTTTACGGGTTTTGCTCGTTGAGGTGAAACTGTCCCAACATCTCTTCTCGCCCGTTGCTTCGGCGTATGATTTAACCATGTTCTCGTCGCTGTTTACACCGCGATAGAGTTCCTTGCGATAGTGGTTGTTATCGGCGTACCAGCTTCTAAATAAAATGTAGCAGAATGGAGCGAGAGTGTTTACTTTGCTCTGATCGTTTTCTCTCAACGCTTTGTTTATTAGCTTGTATAGGAAGCATTCCATTGTGTATAGCATAATGCAGCATTTATAAATTTCTTCTCTTTTTTCGTTTTTCACGGCTGTTAATTTTTCAGCTATCCATTGTGATTCACGGTGCTCGTCGAGTTGCTTCCCTTCGAGAATTATTCCAAGCGCTGCCTGCTCTACTATCTCAGCATCAGAAAGTTGCTTAGCGCTCTTCCACTGTGAAAGAAAAGTATAAGCGTCGGTGCTGCGATCGTGATTGAATGTTTTCAGTGGTTGTGGGAGAAAGAATCTTTGTTCTCTTAAAGCTTCATTTTCATTTCTCTTAATTAGAACTCTTTTTATCGGCCGTTGTTTGTTTTGATCTGATTTACTGATTTGAACGGAATCCTTGAGATTGAGCCAATAATTATCTAGTTCCGCTAGTTCTGTTTTACCTTTCCCATTAAATGCTTCTTCGATAATCTCGGATTCGATATCAGAATATTTTGTCCATTCTTCTTTTCCACTTCTTGACCATGGATCGTAACTCGATTTCCAGTACCACTGAGCTCGTAGTCGATCAGTTCCTTTCACCGCTTGTCTTGCCATTGATTAGATTGTTTGGAGCTAATGATACTCGAAACGTCCGTGGATCTGGAAAAGGCACAGCATGAATAGCAGAATAGTGTATAAATAAAGAAACACTTCTTATTGTTACTAAGCTCAAGTCTCTACGATGAAAACTCATCGAGATATTGACGAAATACTGATGGTATCATTCTTTATGCCGCACCCGATATATTTTTCAAAAAATTCCTGGAAGGGTTAATTCACATGTAAGAAAAAATTCCTTGAATTGCTTTTTACTCAAACTTCTCATCTGTAAAGTGATGAATGTCATATATGAAAATATTTCAAAAAGCTTTTTCTTAAATATGTGTCAAAGCTTTTCTAAAATTCTCAGAAATGTCTGAGCAAAAAAATGCATCTTTTTCAGCATCTACCTGTAGTAAAAATTTCAAGTCAATAGAAAATAGAAATCACTTTACAGATGACTTTTATTTACTTTTCATTATGAAAAGTGTCTTTTTCTAGAAGCAAATCGAAATTATAAGTAAATAAGACATATATGAAAACTACCTACTTTTTCCACGCATCGATTCAAGTTGCGGGAATGCGATATTCGGATTCAGCATGTCGAGAAACCTTTTTCACCGAAGTTTCATCTTGAAGGCAGACAAAAAGTTCCCGTCGAAATTTTTGCCTGAGGTCCCGCTCAGGTGTTTTGCCTAAAATTTAGGACGAAACTTTTTTTTCCAAAACGCGTCGGATTATATATCATTCGATGCAGTGTTTTTCGTAGATTCAGAATATCACATTGGTTTTGCATAAAAATGCTTCTGAACGTGTAAAACTTAAGTTTTTCACTTTTTCCGTTCTGCATATGTAAGTTCATGTTCACTGTGAAAAAGAGAAAATATGTTGTTTTCTTTTCTCTCTTCCCATATAACAGAACCGCGGCAAATAGCGATTTTCTTTTCTTTTCTATTTTGTTTTCCTATTCACGTTATATATAGTGTGTGTTCACATTACAATGTGCGTTAAAATATATATAACATATATATTAAGACTGTTGTCTGTGATGTCACGCCACGCTTTCTTCGTATCTGCTCCATATATATATATATACTGTGCTGGGGCCAGTTTCATCAAAAAACTTAAGTTTGACTTAAGTCAACGACTTAAGTGAAAAACTAAGAAAAAGTTAGGAGACACTTAAGTCAAAGTTAAGTTTTGTCCTAAGTGTGTTTCAGTAAGCACAACTTAAGTATGACTTAACACTTAAGCAAATATCTGACTTAAGTTGAATTATGGCCAAGTTGAACCAATCAAAAGACAAAATCGTTTTGGAGGAGTTTTTTCAATCATGGCACACAGATTCATCCATAGAAACTCATACTTCTATAAGTTTAAGCAATTTGAGCATAATGTTCGAAGTTTTGTACACTATTTTCAAGAACGAGCGCACCAAGCGAGAGTAAAGTGTATATGCATTATGTATTTTAGGAATACACCTTAATTTTCCATGGATACACTCTGTAAAAAATAAATTTCAGCTTAGGAAAGTGTACTCATAG